TAATTTCACTATCATATGATAGGTTTTTGTTTGTTTCATTGACCACTTTAGTGGAAAGAAAAAAAATTATGGAATCGCATGAAACTGGATTTTTGGTCAGCAAGTTAAAAGAAGCACATTAGTTGTTCATAGTTGTTGTTCACTAAAATTTTTAAATCAAAAAGAAAAAGAAAGAAATTAATAGATTTTTGATTTGTTCTCTCTCTCGTGGAGAGGTGAGTTCCGTAAGAATTTTAATATTTAGAAATTTCTGATCCAAAATAACTCAAAGAAATCAAGGTGTGAGAGATTTGTTTGTAATTTGGAGTTTAGATTGTGGTAAGTTTTTTAAGAAAAAACACATGCTAGGCATATAAAGGCCACATGTCATTCCTTTACAAAGTTTGATTAGAAAAAATCTTAAAATATAAAAGATATATGCTGATAATGTTTTAGCTCATTTTAATTCATTTTCGTTACCAAATTGAAGTGAGCAATGGTATTATTATATTCAGACGAAATAATACTAATGAAAAGTATAACAAGAATTGATAATTGTTTATCATGAAATATGATATATATGTTAGTTAATGGAAACCGAAAATTTATCTAGTTAAATATACAATAGCAGAATAAAAGATTTTTTTCTTTAAAATAACATAAATAATCAAATCAAACATAGTCGGTAAAAGAATTAATAGTTTATTTTTTTTACTAATTCGATGAGAATTATTATTTTTGATAGACCTTATGGTTAGTCAAGGGTTGATATAAGATATTAAAATATTTATCCAATGTGTTCTATGAAGCATACAAAAAATCAAAATGATGTGATGTATGCAAGTAAACAAAAGATTGTAGAGAACAATAAACTATACACAACTTCAACCTACCAACAACACCTCTGTTGAGCATCTCTCATTAGACCAATGTCAGTATCCTTTTCAAGGAACGATTAAAAGTAAGTTTTAAGCAAAGTAGCAAAATACAGTGTTACACAATAGAGGATCTTGGCTAGCACCATGGACATATTAAGTACCATGCTAGAGAAGCCTTTACCCTCACCCCAACCAAAATCATCACAAAAGTTTGATGTACTATTTGGGCATTATAAATTCTTCTCGACTTACAGTCATGGAAATTCTCTCAAAACCATCGAAATGGCTTAGATATTAGGCATTTATTAAACATACCACTTGTATCTGTGCAGTGTTCAAGAATTGCTCTTTTGGGTTAGAATTTATGAGCTCTAACTCTATTATTCGAGAAATCTAAAAAAAAAATTTGCGGAATAGACGATCCTAAACCTATCTAGTGTTGGGAGGTCCGTGTTCCTACACGTTTTAAGTTTCAAGAGACAATCGTACAACATATTTTAAGCTATGAAAAAAATCTTTTATGTTGAACAAACAAAAATTAGAAAAAATTAAGTCACTGGATTTAATTCGTTGTACACTAATTAAACCATTAAATCACAATTGATGTTCTATCATCACTTTCCACAAATTAGTATTTAGTACTTCCAATAATTTCACTACAGCTTCACGAATACAATTTTTTCAACCTCAATTTACATGATGTAACATCATTTTTCTAGAAAAGGAAACAAACAAAAGAAGTTTAATTAGTTTATGCTATTAATGAAGTTACTTCTTG